CTAATGGATTAATAATTGGAAGTTTTTTAACATCTTCTGTTTTGTCAACAGATTTTACTCTTTCATGACGTAAACTTATACTGGAACCACCAAATCTCGCAGCTGTAGCAGCCAAAGAAACAACCTCTGATGCTTTTAACAAACTTCCACTGCTAATTCGACGAGTTGCTTGAGGAGAAAAACCCGATTCCGGTAGCTCTACACTTACTAATCATTTACAAAAATAATAAAATAATTATTTTATATATATTATCATGTTTGTACAAACAAGTTATGAAAAAAATTATATAATATTGTAAATTTTTTATATAATAAAATATTTACAATCGTATAGAAATTTTTTTGTTATTTAGAAAATTATTATCATATTTAATAACGTGCGTGTTTGATACGCACATAATGATTTAAATCTAAATCTATGAAATGTTAACTTACATCTTTCCATACTTTCACAAGTGTGTCGTCTTAAATAAGGATTCATTTTATATTCTACATCTGAATCGTGTTGACTTTCAATTGACATTGATGGGCTGGGAGGATTAATGATAACACTTATTGTAGGTGGAAAGTTATTATGTTTTTCGTTTGTTGGAGTTGCATCCGAAGATACAGTAAAGCAACATACGGGACTTAGTAAATCAGATGCTTTGGCATCGTGAGAATCTTTAAACTTATTCGCTTCGTTTACATTCTGTCCCGTTGATCCCACTTTGTATTTAATTTTATTCTAATAAAAATTAAATAGAAGATTTTTATCAACACATGTATTAAATATCTAAATGTAAATTCAAGTATAATGTAAATTTTTTCATAATAATAAAATTATATTTAATAAATATCAATTTTGTTACCTCTATTTCTATAACAGAAGAACTTTTTGTTGATCTTTTAAATGATCGTTTAGCAATTTCATTTGTAAGATCAGTATTTTCTAATTCATTTTCTAAATACTCTCTTACAGAATCATATTCTTCTCCATTTATTATACTAGTTAAATCTTGTCCCATTAAACTTTCAGAATTTTGTATTTCACTAGTGACCATTTCTGAATTATCAGGAGAATCAATATGTCTAATTTCAGAATCAAATGCATCACTACTTATATATCCTAAAACAAATGCATAAAATATATTATAAAAATGTTTATGTGAACTTTGTTCTTAAATATTCATTGGAACACTTTAATCATAACATTTTATCATTTTGATAAAATTTTATTTACATCAATACAATTAAATAAATTATTAATAAAAAATATTTTAAATTAAAAATTATAAAAGTATTATATTACAAATAAATTTAAAAAAGATTAACATCAATTTAATATCATATTTACAATACTTTAATTTAATAATTTTTTGATAAATTAAATAAAATATAAAATAAAAGAAAATAAAAAATTTGTATTACTACAGATTATGTAAAATAGAATTCAAAAGTATAATTATCGAAATATTAGTAGATTATATAAATATTAATAATACTATTATAATTACCTTTAATTGTTTCCATCTTAGCTTTATTTTCATGTATTGGTGATTGGATTGAATCTATTTCAGAAGAAATGTCTTGTGTAGTTCCATCTTCGGAAGGTGAACTTGTATCAAAAGTAGTTCTTGTAACACTAACTTGAAAATCTGAAGAAATTTCTACGTTATTAGAATCAGATATTTGTTGATCATTAGATTCTGGTGTTTCTGCTTCTTGTTCATTGTCCATAGACATATGAAAGTTAAATGAACTGAAAATGAAATCGAATAATAATTTATTATTGTTTCTGGATTTTTTATAATATTTAAATTAGAAGCTTTATTTTAACTTATAAAATCTAGTCTTCTAAATTAGTTCGTTTATTAGTTTATATATATATATATATAAAGATAATAACAATATCATGTTTTTGAATTTTAAATATGCATAATATTATAATTTAATATACAAAATATGATAATATATTATATGATCATATTATATTATTATTCCTATATTATATAATTTATATATTTTGTATTATATTCATTTGCATCAATAATTTATATATACAAAAATCAAAATATATGTATACCTTTGCAAATTTTCACTATTTCGTCTACTATCAGCAAAACCATCAGGTGCAGGTAATGTTAATAATTCTTCAGGTTGAGAATCTCTTCTAAGATCAGGTATTGGACTCAGAGATGCTACATTAGGCGTTGGACTAGTACACGTTGAATTATCTGTGCTTTTTACAGATTCTATTAATGGTCCTACAGATAAATTATCAACATGGTCCACTCTTAAACCAGGAATATCCAGCTGCTGTCTTTTATCTGAAACGTATTTTTTTATAATATTATAAATATTAAATATTAATAATAAAATAAATAATGCATTATAAACTTTTTAATAAAAATTTACGATAATTATTACTATAAACTTACTTGATATTGAATTTATTATAGTATCGTCGTCTAGTGAACTATTTCCTACTTTAGTAGCATCTTTTGTATTTATGTTAATCTGATCATCCGTAATCAATTGAGAATATTCCACAATTTTTCTTACAATTCTTTTTAAACTATTTGCCCTAAAATTTAATAAAATTCGATAAAAATATTATACATTTTTTTATTTAAATAAATTTTTATATTTAAATAAATATATGCTTAATATTTAACACACCTTGACATTACTGTTTCTTTTTCTATGAGTTGTCTCTTTTTTTGAACTTTTTTCAAATTTGTTATATCTTTTTCCGGTTTCTCTAATACTCCTTTTTCACAAATATCAGGTGAAACAGAATTTTCAGTAGTTAAAGTAATGTTGTCTGCATCATCTAAATTCTCATTTAGATATCCTTCTTCTTTACACAATATTTCTAAAAACAAATCAAGTTTTTGTTGAAGTATCTTACACTTTTCTTCCACATGTTGGTCCTCTGAGTTTATATTTTCCATTATATATGTTGCAAAATCTTTTACTGTGTTACATAAAATTCTGTAAATAAACATTTTATTAAAATAACTTTGTCTCTTGATATGTATTATATTTTTCATATTATTTTATATTATATTAAGTAATTTTATTCCTAGACTTTTAAATTAATTAATCAGTTTATTTTTAATAACTATCAGAGATTTACTTTTGTATCACTATATTTTTTGCATGAAATACTTACTTAATACTAGATAAAACTACATTTTCTTGATCTGATTCCAAAATGTTTGTTATATGACTAATAACATTATCCTCATATTGATGAGTAATACTAGATTTTAATGTAGTGTTAGACTGACTTAAAGCACTTTTAGGACATGGCAAAGATATGCTACGTTCAAAAGTCATAATACTCCATCGATCAAGCATTTTTGTGCCTGCTTTTTCATATTTTTCTAACAACTGGGGTAAATGAGCATCGTCATCACAAGAAGATCCCCAACCCAATACACGAGCCAGATCATTTCCAGTTCCCAATGGTAGAACTCCAACTTGACACTGCTTCTATTTTAAATTTTTATGCAAAGAATGATCTTGTTAGAGTTCTTAAAAATAATTACTACTTATACAAAAGTTTTAAAATCTCGAAGTCTATGTAATCATACACTATTATTATTTAATCAATTATTTTGTACATAAACATAATAGAATAACTACATAAATATTAAGGTATGAGTTGCACTATAAAATGAATAATTTTTTATCTATTACACAACATACATCGCAAATAAGCAAAGCAATAGTTAAACATTCAGAAAAAAGAAGTTTGTTTCTTATAATAAAAATACAAATTTTCAATATTAAATTTATTATAAAATATTTAATATTAGCCTACTGTGCAAATAGTATTCTATTTCCTGAATTTCTTATTATACCTTAATGTTCCTAAAAAATTTTTTGTTGCAGATGTGGATATAAATTGTAATTGTAGAATATTACTATCAATTGTAAAGCCATTTCTATTAGTTTCTTTATACTTTCTACAATTTATTATTAGAATTTATACAATTTAAAATTTATTTTGAATATTTAACTAAATATATTAAATTATCGCTTAATTTTCCTTCTTGTATTATATAAATTTTTTTCTGTTTTTAATCATTATATTATGTATGATATATAATTATAATATTATAATTGTATATATGTATATATATATATTATATTAATAGTATATATGTATTATATATTATAATATTATAATATTATATATATTATAATATTAATATTATAATATTAGACATAATCAATAAATAAAAAAATATTTGGAGATAAATTTTGTTTCGTGAACATATAAACAAATTAATAATTAAAATTCAAATTATAACATGTACTAAACTATAAAATGTCTAATATTTCAGAAATATATGAAAAAATAATTTTTTTAATCAATTATATCAATTATTGAACTATAATTGCATAAAGATTGTTTAAGCACAAATAAATTGAATTTTTAATCTAATTGGATTTCAATAAATTTTAACTAATGCTATTCAAGCATTTGGCTACTCAATATTTAAAACTACTAATTTAACAGTAAAATCATAACCAGCACTTATTCAAAAATAAATGTGCAAAAGTTTCTAAACATTACTTGTGAAAGAATGCTCTATTCTAATAACTCAAAAAATTATTAGGAAGAAAAAATTAAATAAACATGTACTAACTTAAATTTTATTATTGAATATCTGATAAAATCTTTTGATAATTTGAATAAAAATTATACATCCTATAAGCCTATCATAAGTGTAACAAATGTATTTGATTTAAAGAAATTTTAAAACTCCTACATTCTTTGTACTATTAAGGTTTATGAAACTGATTCTCAACACTATCATTTGTAATTATACCTTATATTACCACTATTGCTGCAATCTACAAATATATGGAACATTATACAGATCAATCACACACCTTTTGAATCGTCTGGTGTAGAATTCCACTATAAATCCAAATCCAGAGGAACTAATTCCATTGTTATAATCATAGGAAGAATTGTTTTGTATTTTAATCCAAATTCCATTGGTTCCAATACTGCTCCAGTCTCTTAATTACACTGAATTATGTAACAAGATAAGTGAAACATAAGAAACAAACTTTCGGAAATTTCTCTCAAAACTTTCCTTTTAAAGTGAAAAGTATCTAACAAAAATATTTTCAATTTTATCTAAACATTCTTTTTCTAAATATTTATTTTATACTGATTTATTTACTTTTCTATGTTTTCAGTATTTATCTGTAAATAATTTACTAAAAAACCTTGTATTACCTAATAATATAGCTTTATTAACTCACTTTACTTTTAAATTTGTTTTACTGTTGTAATTTAATTTATTGTGTTTGCTTCAATTATCATATGTAATCAATGTGTTTTAAAATTAGATTAAAATTAATAATTAACAATCATAATGAAAATATATATTTTATTAAATGAAATAATATCATTTTCCTACACAATTTTTTGCACCTGATAATTCATGATTTATACGGATTATATCTTTCTTAAATTTTATATCTTACAGGCTTTTGTAATAAATCATATAACATAAAATTTTATAACAGACAACTTTTATAATAAAATAGGTTTTAATGCCAGTGATTACTTAAATTATAAATGTGCAATTATAATTATAATTACTATATTACAAAATTAGAAAGAATTACTATATGAAATTGTGAATAAATATGATATTTAAATATTTGTAATGTATAAATAACAACTAACAAGACATTCAAGAATTATCAAAAAATGCGTGCTTAACTTACACTTACCATCTACAAATAAAGTTAATGAAGCTTCACGTATACAAAGAATCCTAATGCATAAACACCAGTATCATCTGAAATAAAATTATAAAAGAGACACGCCATGCTATGTAAAATATTAAAGCTTTTCATTATTATACACTTAATCTTTCTGTAACATTTATAAATTTATTTTAGTAAGCTGGAATTTCAAAAATAATTTTAAATGTTTATATCTTTAACTAGTACAAAATTTTAGTTTTAATTACTTAATCTTTTACTTTTCTCATATTATCTCACAACTATAAATATTTTGCTGACACAAAAATATAATTAATAAAATTCATAATATTTAAATCTAATAAATACAATAAAAAATTTTTATTTGAGAAAATAAAAATACTTTTTCAATGAATTTCTTTAACATTTTCCTTATATTTAATATATAATAATTATAGGAAAAAATTACGAAATAATGTTATAAAAAGAAATTTTTATCTAGTTAATTAATAGTTAATTAGCTAATAGTTATTTAATACTAACATTAGTAATAAAATAATATACTTTGATTGTTACAGAAAGATTAAGCAAATGTGAATATCGCTTTAAAATCACTGCTATTCACAAAAATCATATCTAATTGTAAAAGATATAATATGAAGACAGTGTCTTCATATAGGAAAAAAATAAAGCAGACAAGAAAATCAATTTTGTTTCATTGTATATTAATTATTAAATTCTCAATTCAATTATTCAATTTATATCAATTATTAAATTGATTTTATTGAGCTGGCTGTCATTTATTTATACTGATCTTGAGTATCAAAATACTTGACTCCAGAAATGTTTGATATTTTTTATCAGTAGTAAAAAAAATAGTAAATATAGTGCTTTGTTAAATATTTCATGTTTCTCAACAATTTTTTTTCATAGGTTTATTATTTAATGGTTATGAGATTGTTGTTAAGGGAAAATAAGAAAACAATTTATACTATAAATATATATAAAATAAATACTGCTTGTTTACAGAGAAAATAGAAAAAATTTAGTACAAAATTCTCAAAAATGATGAATTTTATAACAACTTAATATTTTTATATTTGTAACTTGCTATTTCGTTGAATTAGATTATAATAAATTGGATATTTTGTTTAAAAAGGCAAAATTAATTTCCCAATCTTTTATATTTTTTTATCTGAAATCTATTATTATCATATTTATTACAATTTTTCTAAATAGTATTTTCATTTGTTACTTCATAAAAACAAATATATTTGAAATAGACAGAATACTGGGATATCTTATATATATATCTGGTATATTATGTAGCAAGATATTATAACATTCCAATAAAATGCAAACATGCGAATGATAAAGAAAAGTAAATTTTTGTATTACTTTCATCTCAACATGTTTAAATAATTCTGATTAAAATAATCTTGTAATTTCTAAATTGTACTATAATATTTGTAATTATGGTTTATATCCATGCATATATTAATATTCTACAGAGCATTACAGCTTCTGCATAACATAAACATTTTCAAAGTGAATTTATATATATTCTACGTAATAAAATTTTAAAATCATGCAATTAGCAAATATTTACAAAATCAGAAGATTATGTGAACTTTTGACTTACATGCATTCCAAGGCGATCAATTTCAGAAAGAACCCAACCAACAGATCCATCTCCACTGCATACCAAAATACGAAATGGATCAAAGTGACGAAATAATCTTAACCTATTTATAAAAATATATTAATAAGTTGTATTAACATTATTTAAAATTACATAAAATTTTATAGAACATTTTACCCTGGTCCTGGTCCTCCTTTTATAAGATCAAATACTTGTGCTGGATTTAATAATTGTTTAAATCTTCTAAGAAATTTAATACCTTGATTGTCACCAGATTTACTATTTACAAATACTAAAAGTGGGCTGCATCCAGTAGGTCTTGTAGCTTCCCAAGCTTCATCACTACCTATCAAATAATTATTGCATACTATGTAAAATACTGGATATATATCTATGTAATGTCATTACAAGAAACTAAAAAATTTATTTTCTAAAATTATACTGCATTTTATATGTATAAAAGCTTAATAAACAGTATTTAACAAATATTGCAACTAAACTATAAAAAAAGTAAATTAAATATTAGATATGTTACCAAAAATTTACAAATAATGTCACCTATACTATGCAGTGCTGTAGGAGGAACTACACTCAATTTAACTGGTCCTAATGGACACTTAACACTTATGGCAGGTCTACAAGCTGTATGTACTGTAGCTCTACACCATAAACATCTCCAATCTTGAAGCCTAAATAGTTGATATAAAAAAGTTGATATACAAATTTTAAATATAAAGTAGTCCATATTTTTCATAAATTAATATTATACCTGAGTACAGAGCCACAAGTTTTGTCACATACGGAACATTTTGAGGATACTGGTAAATTGCCTTCCATCCATTGATGAGGCATAGTAATGTTCTATATAAAAATAGTTTAAAAAATGACAATTACAATTTACTTACTACTATAACAATTATAATTTATTTTCCAATCAAAATAAAAGAATAACATTGATATCTTATAACAAGTAAAAATCTTTCTTTTATTTGAATTATTGTTTTTTTTAATACATACTAAAAAATATATATTAACAAAAAAAAACTATACATTAATCTTTCTACACAGCAAAAATAAAAAATAAACATATAATACAAATCTAATAATAATTTTTAAAAAATCAATATCTTTAAGAGAACAATTTTAATCAATTTTTTACACATACCCCATCTTGGTCCTCAATAATGTCCTTGCCAATAGATGCCAATGTGGTCCATTTGCAATTATTTATTGCTTTTATGCTACATCGTTTATGAATTTTATATTTACATATTTCACAACTTAAACCATGAGAAGTAACACCTATAATTTTATAATTCAATGTATGTATATATATTATATGTATTGATGTATATTAATTAATATGTATTAATTATTTATAATATTCAATATCATTACAACTCTATATATTAATAAAATATCATTAAAAATATAAGAATTAATACATTTGTAGATACATTCACTGTTTTTTAATATTACATTACATTTTAATAATACAAGTATATTACGTTTACTAGCTACTGTGCTTTATAATTTGTTAATTTCTTATTGATATTTGTGAGATTTATTACAGAAATTTAATGATCATAAATTTTATTTATAGAATTAAACTATAACATAAAATTTCATATACTAATAATAAGAAATGAAATTTTATATACTTTATTATTATGATAAATTATATATGAGAATTGTATATAATTCATTATTATAATAAAATTATATAATAAAATATTTATTTACCATAAAGAGCATCCCTGCAAACATTACAATACGTTGGTCTCGCATGACTTGTTGCATACCAATGATGATTGCCACTAAGCATTTCTGCAATTCCAGAATCTATCTGGGAACGATTCTTTGTTACTGTTCTTAGTGCATTCAACCAATCTTCCATTTCTTGCCTACTTTCACCACAGAGAACCAGTGATCGAAATGGAGTTATCACCTTAAAGGATACATATAACATTATATATACATAATATTAAACAATAAAATCACTTAAATTCAATTGGATCCTAAACATTCCTTAAACGTTCTATGAAAGAAATAAGAACTTTATATATTATTTTATACAATATTTTGTTTTAATCTTATATATTATTTTATACAATATTTTCTTTTTATTGTTCCGAATTAATTTATGATAATACTTGATAACAACTATACTACATACAATAAATATTGTTACAACGATTATATTTATACTGTCGTTTGATTTTGAAATAACCTTGTATTGTGCATTCATGGCGTAAATCGAAAAATATTACCTTGAATCGAGAACGGGTTCTCTGTTGCTTCGGTGACATTTGAATTGCAATTTCAAGCACAACATTTGCACGTGTACGATTTGTACGTGTCTCAAAGAACAACAAATGTTATATTCGAATAACAGAAGATAGTTTTTGGACATGCGAAAAATATAACAAAATTTATTGAGCATCGAAACGATCGAAGTGTATAGTAGTGTACGCGCTATGTTCTTTTCTTCTTTAAGCCATTGCTATGTCCTATTTTCTGTGGCGCATGTCATGTCACCTCATTTATAAATAAATATCCGAATGAAAATGTAATACGCTATTGTACAATTTCATTATGTACATAACTTATTTTATCAACGTATTCTTCTTGTATTATTAAAATCTCTCTATCGTATGAAACGCTGAAAACGGAAAATGCGAACGAATTGCAATTATTAAGCTTTTACTCAAAGATAATATCAACACATGTATATATATACTTTATTTTCATATATTGATTATGTAAGCAATTAAAAATTTGAAATTCAAAACCACGGAAAATCATAGACTGTAAATTGGATGCAGAATTGATTTGAATCAAATATAAATTAGTTTGATTTATTAATTGCGCTTGAATTGATAGCAATAACCATCTCGTTCTATTTTGAAAATAACAACACGATAATAAAAAATAAACGATTGTTATAATTATTATTTATAATAAAATCTTGAAATGTTAAAAATAAAAGAGAATTTATTAAATATTTATATTTTAAATATAAACCCGCTATTTATATTTTAAATATAATGACAATCATTAATCAACAAGCAAACAAATATATGCAAGTAAATTATGTATCGTACATAATTTATATTTTTGTGAGAAAGTTAAATTCATCGTTTTTCTTTTTATTGTTCTGAATTAATTTACGATATTGATTGATAACAACTATATGTATAATAAAAATTATATATAAAAATAATTTCGTGTTCACTTACTATACAAATTTAAATTATATTATATTATAACGAGCAGATTTCAGATGCATTATAAAGATGAAATTTGTTTTGATCTCGATTAAGAGTATAAAAAGTAACTAAAAATTTTAACGTTTTATTGCAAAAATTGTATTACGAAAATAAAAGAACTTTTAATGACTAACGTAAACTTTTAATAACTAATGTGATATATCCAACAATTATTCAATTAATAAAAAAAATAAGAAATACTTGTGATTACAACGTTACGCTTTTTGACAATTTTATTCAAATTTTTCTGACTAATGATTTGATATGCTCTTTCAAAACTTTTTGCCGAACCCATCTGCTATTCGTTTTTTACTTGAAAAAATAATTCTGTGCTAAACCTACATACAATTTTTATTTTATAGAATAAAGATAAAATAAAATTAAAATTAAACAATTAGTTAACAAGTCAAAGATTGTAGCATACATTTTGATAATAATAAGTATGATTACAATATATTTTAAATGTAAATCACAGAGTGACGATCAAATTAAAGAATGACAAAAAAAATTGCCTTTAATTTTTTGATTTTGATAATTGGATTTCATATCTTTTAATGAGACATCAATTATAAATTGATTTTTTTCTGAGATACAAGGAGGCTATATATCCATGCTTCAATGTGTAAACTTTTATGTCGATTAGATAATTTAAGAAACATCAAAAATTTTATTGACTGCTAATGAATCAATTTGAACTTATACTTTCAAAATTCACAGTGGTAATCCGTATTACTATATTATATTTAAAATTATTATATTTATATTGCATTACATTTTTAAAAATTTAGAATTACTGTAGTACCATGAAAAACTAAAGAATATTCAAAATAAATATGTAAGACTTTAGATTCTGCTAAGAAATTGTATTAATGCAAGAATAACAAAAATGATACGACTTGAATGTAGAATCAACTAGAATAATATTAATAAGACATATATATTTTTACGATTAGATACTGCCACTGTACAATGGTCTGCTGCTATTTCGTTTTACGCCATAAGCATTTGTCCAAATTATAAATAATTTCGTGATCTTTAACAATTATATTCACAACTTTTATAATTAAGAAACTTGTTTCTTCAAACTAAAAACTATTATTCATTTAATCTCACTATAATTAAATATTTTATGTGAACCATTATAATAAAATAATTTTAATCTTAAAAATCAGTAAAATCTTAAAAAATACTGAAAGAAATATCAACGCAATATAAGTATGCTATCATATTACTTTTCTTTTTTTTGTATATTGATTTAATAGAATTCACTGAACTCATGACAAAAGAGATTATGCATTCATGCTTATACAAAATAGTATTTTTACATACCATGTACTGCAATTTTCAGGTTATCATAATTATGATGTAAGAAATTAAGCATAAAACATGCAAGCTATCTTTTCTATATAAGTATATATATATGTGATACTATGTGATATATTTATAAACACTATATATGCACAATTTTACTGTATCATTATTTAATTCCATTTACCATGACGAAACGTATTATCACAAATAAACGTACTATTATGAATAAAATCGTGGAAGACCATATTGTACAGGTTATGTTTACATCGAGAAGAAAGTTTCGACACTGTTGCCAGTTATTTTCACCACAGATTGCATTTAATTGTGATATGTGATTCCCAACTATAACTATAACATAATTGTTACACAAAAACGTAACTAATTAAGTCGTGTAATATATCTCAAGCATTCTTTTTAATCTGTTCAATTAATTCTTGCTTTACGAGAAATTACTCTCTGCTCTGGGATGTATACGCATTTTGCGTAACGATCCCTTTACATGTAACGACAACCGGAAACCAGCGAAAACATTCTGAAATTTTTCGAATAAATAATTTGTACTTTGAGAAATGGGAAACAATAAATATATATATATATATATAAAACTTACAAAGGATAAATCTAAAGAATTTTTCTTGCAAGATTTCTACTAAATGTATATCGTAAGACTAATATATTTGTTTAATTAATCAAGAGTATCATTACAAAATTACAATTTTACCAGTTTTAAATACTTTAAAATCTGTTTTACTTAGAATTTGTTTCATTTTTTTCGCGAACTAACACTTTGATAGTTTCCCGTGCGTGAGACTAGTAACTTATTTGTAAACTAGTCGAGCGCAGTCATTGATTGTCACGTTTCTCAAATATTTAGTTCGTAAAAATATTCGTTTCCACGTATGCGTATTTACATGAAACGAAAGTAATCAAAAAAATTTCAGCGTGTTCGATGGGAAACTGTATAACGCGTGCATTGTCCGATAGATCAATTGCTATTGGTAGCGACGCAGCGTAACGTTGGGTGACCTGGCTATGTTAAACCTGCGATCACTCGGTTCAAGAGAAGAGATTAGAAATTAGTCAGAATCGTGTATATGGTTAAATTTCTCGGTAGAGGTAATTAGTAATTACCGTGTTGCAATATTGAAACTAATCAACATAAGACATAATAATGATTTTGTTGGAGATACACAATAGGATATTAGAAGAAACGTTGAGTAACAAAATAAAAAATGCTCTATCTGGGTGAGTGAAGCACTTCCTTTTTTTAAGGTCAAGATGTTTTCCACATTTTTAAGATAAAGTTGGGGATTACAAATCGGGGCGGTGTCCGTTTCGAATGTTAGCGACGTTTATTGCAACGAAATATTTGATATTTAATACATATCTATATACATGTATATTATAAATTTCTTTTTGAATTCAAGACGTTCCTGCATTATGTCAAACGAGTATTTATTTAAAATGTGACATTCGTGACGTTTAATTTTCTGTTTAATCGTTTTCGCGCGATTATTTTAATATTAATAATTGTACAGAGGTGTAAGTAAATTATGTATACAAATAATACGTAGATAGAATTATTTGCAAAATTATTTCACATAATGTTAGGTAATTAATTTTTGCCTATTCAGTCAATTTGCAATCTTGTATTTTATGTCTTTAATTGAAATGTATTCTCTTCGTAGTCACAAGCCAGAGTCTACGGATGTTGTTATAGCAGATTTTGATGGAGTTTTGTTTCACATTTCTAACTTGAGTGGCGATAAGTCAAAAATTAGAGTAAGTTTCAAAAAGCTTTCCTGTATTTATATCGCTCTATTGCTTAATGAGTTTTGTACGTAATTCTGTAATAATAATAGAATTTATTCATTATATTGAATTATAATGTTATAATTTCGTTATTATTACTTGTTGCTCATTTATAAGATTGTTATAATTAGATTTAATTTTATGTTATTTATTTGTGTTTAATACTTTTTGTTTTATGTTTTTCTTTTTTTTATTAATATGCTTTATTCTGTTACAGATAAGTATTTTACTTAAATTTTATAAACAATTACAAGAACATGGGGCTGATGAACTACTTATACGTGAATATGGACCTTATCTTATAGCCCCTGAAAATGGTAAACAATTTAATTGAATCTAAATCAGAATCTGTAACAACTATCAAATTAACTAGAAATTACTAAACAAAATATTGGCATTTCCGTCATTAGGTTACAATGTCTCTGTATTGATAGACCTGGAAAATTTGCCTGAAGATTGGGAATCATTAGTTAAAAAAGTTGCACTTTTAAAAAGACATTGTTTTGCCAGTGTTTTTGAAAAGTATTTCGATTTCCAAGAAGAGTATTACGATTCACCAGGTACCCAATTGCAAAAAAGGGCAGTTATTCAATACAGAGACGAAGAAACAATGTAAGAACATGCTTTCATTTTGCAAAGTTAATGAAAATAAACAATATTTATTTAATTTATATATATTTTATGTATAGGTATGTTGAAGCCAAAAGTGATAGAGTAACGGTGGTATTTAGCACAATATTTAAAGATGAAGATGATATGGTTATTGGAAAGTTATTTTTACAAGAATTGAAAGAAGGAAGGCGTGCAAGTCATACAGCTCCACAAGTTTTATTTAATCATCGTGAACCACCATTAGAATTACAAGATTCCGAGGCAGCTGTTGGAGACTGCATTGGATACATTACATTTGGTAAATATTGATTTTTTTTCAAATTTTCAAGAACAAACTGCTGAAAATATTTGAAACTTTTATTGTATGTTTTCTCTTCACAGTATTATTTCCAAGGCATACGAATAGAGAAGCTCGTGATAATACTATTGATTTAATACACATGTTTAGAAATTATTTACATTATCATATTAAGTATAGCAAAGTTTATATTCATTCAAGGATGCGCACCAAAACAACAGACTTTTTAAAAATATTAAATAGAGCAAGATCTCAATCGAAAAATACTGAGAAGAAGACCATCACGTAAGTTCCTTGTAAAAAATGTAAAAAATAATAAAGTTCTTTGTAATTGCAATAATAAATAAGAGAATGTTATATTTTACAGGGGTAGAACGTTTATCAGGAAGGAATGAGTGTAAACATAAAATTATATTCCTTATATTGTTTTAATAAAAGATAAATGACAAAGCTCTCATTTATCATAGATTTGCTAGAAATTTTTTGATCTTCTGGCAAGAAATATTGTTTGTAATGAAAGATTCTAATTCATCAAATTAATGGGTTAAAAGCTGTCAGTCTTTGAGTCTTACCACTCATTGTCTTTGAACAGTACAGTGTTCTTTAGAAAAGTTTATATTACTGTAAACATACTTAAAATGTATGTGCAGTAACAAAACGCATGATTAAAAAACCATTTTATATTGAAATTCTTAAAGTAATATTACAAGAGTGCATAAAGTCTTCGAAGAAATCAGGGAATACATAGTCTGTTTGTGAATAAAGTTAAAAAATATCCTGTTTTACTACTTCTACATACAAAATGTGATCTTAATGCTATTGATCTTTAAGATCAAAGATACATAATCGCATGTTCTATTTTTTTAAACATATTTTATGTTTATTAATTTCACGAAAATTGTTACTTCCTATAAACTTCACGTACAACGAAAATGTTTAAAATAACAAGGAATACGTGGATTTTATAAAGTAATACTGATGTATCATTTGTATGTTTAATAACGTAGCACCATCTTTTTTGATAAATTATTTTTATTAGCTATATTTTATTGTCTCTCTCATTAACGTATAATTGTAAGATAATAAAAGTATTAATTCTATAAGTGATGTAATTATCAAACCTTTGTTTGTATCAATCGAAAATATTGATCTAGTTACTATGAAAATTAATACTATTGATTTGTAATCAGCAAATGGATGTTAGGGTTGGGAGACAAGCTAAAGGTGAAAACTAGGAGTGCCAAATACGGGTATTCATTAATAACCACACTTCTTCATTTAACACCGACACAAAAGCTACAGTATGTGCCTCTTAGAATTTCAGTTATGCCTGTTCTTTCATACAGTACACCACATATTCTGTTTAAAACTTTTCATTGTATTAATTATTCTTGCGATTAAATGAAACAGTTTTCAATGTTAATATAGATTCTATTACATTTTTTTAAATATGTAAGTACATACAGTTAGAATGTATGCATATATACCATAATGTGATATTAATATAAAGTTTTAATTAAAATACTTTGTTGATAGTGTTTAGTAACAAACTTTATATTATTTTACACTATTTCTTCACTGTAAAAATCCGTTTGATTAAAGTTTACATTTATATCATAATTATATATGATATAATTTATTTCATAATTATATATGATATAATTTATTTCATAATTATACATGATATAAAATATAATTATATGATTAACATTATAAAGAAGTGAAATGAAATAACCATATTGATATTTACTTTCCAGTAAAAAATTTTTTTACTTAAACTTTTAAGTGATTGAATCTTTCCAGTCATTAATTATGAAGGAATTGGATGAATCAACTGTCACATCAATTTTATCTTCATCTTTTTCACCATGTTCACCTAATGAAATAGCAATACGACCTGGAGATTGTGTAGAGGGTGGAGTTGAAGAATGGTTGGAAGATGAAGCATTACCAGGATTTCGAGTTTGGCAACTTGCTGGCATAATTCTTTCTATTTTACTTAGTGTACTGATTGGACTTTGTTGTTGCATCCGATTTAGAATACCACGAACTAAACAAGAAATTGAAGCTGATTATATTCGAAAAAAAATAACAGAGAATTTCAGACAAGAATTATCTAAAATCAGTAATACAGAAATGGATGATATGGATCTGAAGAAAGGTAAAAGAGCCAAAGCAAGATTGTGACATAAAGATTCCACTTAATAATGTTATAATAATTTATTAATAATTTATTTATTTTATTATTCCAATTAGTTTTAATACACTTCTTTTTATTAGCATTGAATACAATCCAAAATAAATTTGATATGGAAATTCAAAAAGTACAGAAAGATCATCAAGAAACAACATGTAAAAATATGCAACATGGATTACGATCAAGATTCAATGCAATGTTTGGTGGAATTCATTTCTCTAAACAAGAATATCCAAGTGCTGACAGTATAATTTAGTGGATTTACAAATAAGTTAATTATTATAAAATTAGCATTATTAAATAACATATTTACAATTATAGTTAATTTTTTAAAACAGTAATATTATTAGTATTATTACATTTTCATTTAGAGTTTGTAATATTTATAATTATACATTCATTGTATAATAAGATATAAGAAATATAATACATCAAGCGGAATAAATTCTATACAACATTAATTGACTAAATATAATCTTTATTTTATGAATATAATACAGAAATTAAGCTATCTTACATGCAACAATAATCTATAGCAAAAGATAATACATTTTAGAAAGCACTTAATAGGACTAATGTATATTACCTAACACGTTTTATTTACTTATATTATTAGGTGGTTAGTATTGTTAAAAGTGTTGTAAGTGTTAAAAGTATTGTAAAAGATTTTTCATTGTTATTAAATAAAATAAATTGTTACAAATTATATGTAATTAAATGAAAGATTATTCATAAAACAAAAATCACAGTACAAATTTTATATTTTCATGAATGATTACTATTATGTCTGCTTTTGAATGATTAAGTTAATAATGATAGTTACATTGATAAAGTTAAATTATTTTATATGTATACGAAACAAAATTTTTAAATATAATTCTTATTGTCTCTCTCTCTCTCTCTCTCTCTCTCTCTCTCTCATTTTCTCCGCTCTCATTCTCTCTCTCTTTCTCTCTCGTGTTTGAAAACCGAAATTTCTCATCTTTTTACTATATACGTGGGATAATTATAAAATTACATTATTTTTTAAATATTTTTTAAATAATTTGTGGAAATGTCAAAATTTAACAAAATATACTATATCTTAATATTAATTAATGTACGAAAGATTATTACTTTATATGTTTATTTATAATAGTGTTATTGAATTAATTATTTTTAAGTATATTAAAAAATTATTTTCATTAATAGAAACATGAATTTCATTTATTTAATGCACATAGTTTTTTTTGTACAAGTAAATAATACTGAAGTTTGAAGTTACAAAACAATCTAGATAATAAACAAATTACATTAAATTTATATATAATTTTACATAACTCAGATAAATACATTATACATAAAAAATAAAATTAATGTGACTTGTCCATTATCCGAATCTTTTTGCGATTTTAAATTGTCATTATTTAACTTACCGCTTTTTACATTTTTGTTAATTACAATAATCGTTTTAACATTAAAAAATTCGAAAACGCTATTATAAATAAATGTACAAAATAATAATCTTTCGAATACTATAGTGTTTCAATATTAATAAGAGCCACTGCGAATATTCATAAAATTTGATATTTATTAGCTGATAAACAAAAAGTAAGTTATATAAGTGTAAAATTAAACAAATATAAGTTTATAAATGAATGTTTACAACATTCATACAATGTACGTTTATAAATGAATGTTGATTTTACATAGGAAATGTTAAGATAAGAAACAAGTAGAGGAAAAAATAAATGTATATTCTTTTAATAAAAAGACTCTGAATATCTAAAAAAAAAGAATAAATTTGAAGAAATTATTTTTTTAAAAATATGGATTCTTTATAGATATAAACATTTCTCATAGAGAAATAAAAATTTTAGAAGAAATTGACTTGTCATATATACAGACATCGCTCGCACATAATATTACACACTCACGCATATAGGAATGATTTAATTAATAGTGTTTTAGCTATCCTAATGTTTTTTCCACAAGATGAATCTAAATTTAGTAAGGAAATTGAATTAATCTAAATTATCAACATTTTACAGCACCAACTGGTGTATTATTTTTCATATTTTTAATAATATCACATACAGTAGTTATTCACATGGAATATTTTTATTATACTCTGATGTAATACGACATTCAAATATCTAGTACTTTTAGAAGCTTGTATGGATCAATAAATTTTGTTTTAAAAATAACATATTAAATTATAAAAGGAGCTGCTCGTTTAACATTTATATTTATATGAAAGAAATATATTTAAGCAAATAATCTTTTTTTTTTTACATACAAAATAGTTTTGACATAGATTTTATTTTTTAAATACATATCTTTAATTTTCAAATAAAAATCATTTACAACAAAAATAAATTTAGAAAACGTGACTATAACACTATTGACGCATCTCATTTGAAATTAGATCCATACTGTTGCATAATCCATATTCTTAATTTTTCTAAAATGAATTTTCTATAAGTAATATCGATATAAGTAGAGGAAGTTATAAGAGAATTTTTCACACGGAGCAAGAATACTTGTTTTATTCTACTTATAAATTAATAAACTGTAGGAAAAACTTCATGGACTAGAGGATCCAATAGAAGCGTAATGTACAATATAGACAATATTTCTAAAAGATTCGAAGTCGTTGTACATTGTGCAAAACGTTTTTATAGAGTGAAGGAACTACTTATGCTTTTAAAGTCTATTTGCATGCGTTCTTTCCGTATGATCCTATTTATAGTTGCAAAGAGGTATAGGCTGACTGACATATAAGTGTAACGATGACAGGATACCTCTAATTGATGAAGATTGGGAACTCACTACGAGGTAAGTGGTTTTCATAGAGTTTGTCCAAACAGCATTTAATTGTGCTACAAGACCACTAGCAACAATTGCGCTACAAAACCACCGGCAACAATTGTGCTAAATGGTACTTAAGCGTACCTTCACGAGATCTTATTTCTCCACCACGAAAATTTCATTTTTGGGCTTAAATATTGGAAGCTGATGACTGTTTGTGGAATCAACGATAAGATTGGTAAAAAATTTCCGCAGCTTCGACTTTTCGGTTCATCGTCTAGCGGTTCTGTTACAGTTTCGCTCATAATGTTATGGTGAGGCGTGGAATATGGATACGGTGTTGAAAGTGGGTTACAAGTAATATGTACCTCTTCCATATTCCATTTATCTTTTGTATCATTTCCTTGAGTCAATTCCGAAAGACACGGAAAAGGTACCTTTTTATCTGTGGAGGTGATGGAACAATTAGAAATATTGATTATACGACCTTCTGATGTCAAATTACTCTTACGATGATTAAATACATTGTGATCTAACATGGAATTTGATAAATTCAGTGATTTTAAAGACGTTTTTCTATAAACTTTTGATCGTGTGAGGGGTTTAATTGTTAACTGTGGTGACGATACTGATCGCACAGAATAGGAATTAGTACCTCTGTTAAAATCCATATGATTTTGTAGAGAGTGACAATCATTACTGTTTGTATTTATATGTTTATCTTTTATAGAAACATTAGGATTAATGGATTGAGATGTGGATATAATTGCTGGATTTGTAGGTGTTGTAATAGTTTTTTCTTGGATAATTATTGAATTTTGTATAGCGCACGCGTTAAAATTTGCTTCATTATTATGTTTTATATATTGAAGAGATACAAGATCAGGTTTTTTGTAAATTATTTCAGGTTTTATAGATTGATTATGTTTGTTTGTTTCATTTACGGAAAAAGAAAAGGGAGTTTGAGAAATGGTAGAACTATTAATAAGCGCTTCATTGGTTCCTAATTGGTTAGGTCCGAATGAAGCGTCTATGAACCCTCAGCTTGGGAATCTTGAATAAAATGCACAGGTCAAATCATAATTCTTGAAGCGGCAATATTGCACATCTGTACGTAGCCAATCACCAGAATCTTTCAGATAATCAGTTTGCTCTAAGTCACGTGGGCAACTAGCAGCGATTGATTCTTTGTTAGCAAAAATGGTTACAACAAATTTTTTCGGCTTGAATGTGTTTAGCACACGTCGTATTATTTCCTCATACGAAGTTTCTGGAATGTTACTCTCAAATGAAACATATGAGAACTCTAGTTCTGGTGTAATATGAATAGTCATATAATTTCCCTGTAAAATATGTATAATTATTTTTATGTTCCTTGTATAATATAATCTTTTATTCTCTAGTAAGAATACTTACATTTTTAGATACTCCATTCATTGAATATCCACATGGTTCAAACAGAAAATCATCTATAATCATGTTTGGGATAAGTTTATCAATTCCCGATTTTTGAGTTGCTTCATCAGCAGAAGAGCATACATCTCTAGTGAAAAGAGCCATTACTTCTGGATCTAAATGAGTCATTAGGATTTCTAAAGTTTGATCTGGTTCTGAGGGTTCATCTACAGATTTCTCTTTGTTCAAAGTATATAAATACCAACAATCTGAATCTACAGAACCTAAGCAATAAGCTTCTCCAGCTAGAAAAGAAATTGCCAATTTAATATTTCTTTTGTATAATATTATAAAATGCAAATGTCTAGAAATATAGAAAATATTCTTACCAGGGAAGAATGTATCAAGCAAAGCAACTTCTTCTTCAAATGCTTGATGAGGAGATATTTGGAGCTCCGGCTTTTTGTAATTTTTTCTTGAATAAAACACATTCTGAAACAATTATTATAATTTCGTATAGTCCATGTTTTAATAAAATTTTTGAATATTTTTTTATTTTTATAAACAATCGTACTTGATAATAAAATAAAACCATGGAATATATATTTGAAAATGTTATAAAGACAAGAAACATTAAATTAGCAATAATTTTGGACAAATTTTCATGTACTATATTATGAGTAAGAGAGATCAATAAACCAAGAGGTAGAGATGCATCCTGTATACTAGAGGTTTCCTATATATAGACACATCACTTATCCATGCACTAGGTCAAGTTATATAGCCAAGTACTTTCAACTTCAATGGATTTGCAGTGAGTGGTAATTATTATAAACAAAAATTATTAAATATTACGCCAACAAAAGATCATTACTCTTATAATGTAATATACTTAATTAATAAATATATACTTAATAAAAATAGACTTAATTAATAAATATACTTTTTTAATAAAAATAATACTTAATAGTCTGTCTAGTTTAATTAATAATTTTCCTTAAATAGTTATAAATTACTCCAATAAAATGCTTGACTATTTTTTATATTATTGACAAAATTAATTAATAACGAAAAATTTAAAAAAAAAAATCACATACCTCTACTTCTTCGAAGCCAGTATATTCTTTCACAAGTTCCAAAAGGGGCTCCAAACATTGAAGGGGAGTAGTAGTACCACATGTTTTGAGAATAAGTCTACGTTTTGATAGGAACATGCTACTTTCACTGTAAACAAAAAAAATTTATACTTATTTAATTTTGTACTTAATTCTCAATTAAAAATTGATCTGTTCTTTATACAATATGCTATTAATTTTATACTGTAATTTCAGATAATGGAAATATATCTTTACTCATATACTAACATTGTTTATTTTTTAATCTTTTCTAATAAATTAAAATGTAAATGCATTTTTTACATTTGCAGTTTCATATATTACAACTTAATTTTTACATAATAAAAATATTTTAATCAAAATGTATTATCTTAATCAAAAATTATAAATATATTTTTAAAATATTGTAATAATATATGCATTTTGTATACAATAAATATACAGAATATCTTGTTAAGATCTCGACAAATGTTTCAGACAAAAGTTATAGAAGATCATGCCAATAATTTACCATTTTAACAGAATTTTTTAAAATATTATCATTTTATTAGAATTTATGATTATCATAAAATGAAATAAGTATCAGTGTGATTCTTTTTGATATATTATTTTCTTTAGACTGATATATATTTGTATGTCTTATGTTCTTTCGAGAATTTATATAACTACATGAATAATTATTTGTATAATTTAAAAAATTATTATTTTAATATAAATCTACTAATATCTCAGAATGAAAAGTGTAACTTTTTTTTTTACTTATCAATCTTTCAGTTCATTTTAGTCCGCAAGAAAAGCTTTAATTAATGTTGATAAAATATAATAATTCATACTGATAATTATTACGCGGCTATTTAAATATTTATTATTTGACAATTATGAGCATGTTACATAACATTACAAATTTAACTTTTAAAATTTACGTTATTACGTCTTTTCGTGTGACATCATCGCTAATCGATATTACAGAATGACGACAAAATCCACGTGTTCACTTACAATTAAAATTTTTAAAACTAAATATTTAGAATAAGAAATAAGAAATAAGAAAAAGTTCTTATCATTATATCATTTTTATTTCTTTCTTAGAAAAGACAAAAAAGGGGGGGGGGACTTCTCATAAAAATAACATTAAATAATACACTCAAATTTTACCGAAGTTATACTTTACTGAAATTATATTTTCTATCTGTTTCTGTGAAGAGCATTTTTGGCATAAATAATGAATTGAAGGTTATCAAAGAACGAAGGTTATTGCAAGACATTTACTTGGCTTCCACCGTAATTTTATTTTTAGTTTCAAATCTAGATGGTATTAGGTGCAGATTAAGTGAGACAAAATATGTTTATGAACATTCCGTGAAATATTTAAAACTGTAACAATAATTAATCAAGTATTAGGTATATATTACTAACAAGTGTGAAATTATATTATATATTTATTACATATTATTACATTTCTTTTTCATTACGATTGCATTTGTAATTTCTTTTTTATAATTCCTTATTATGAATATTATAACTCCTTTTTTTATAATTCCTTCTTTATAATTGTTTATTACAAAACATATAATATTCTAATACGAATTTATATATATATATATATATATAAAATATTTGTACGCATTATTTACAGGTTATCATCGGTATTTAACATATATAGACATTGACTCTAGATTTTCTGAGTAATATAAATCGATTTCACTCTATTAATCAAAAGGAAAGTGATATCAAGATACGAAATGTGATAACAATGTAAATAAAGACGAAATAATAATATATAGAGACCACAGCTAAATTAATTGCGATATCAATTCAAATACGATAAAATGCGAAAATAAATGAATTAAAAATGCAAAATTTTTGTATCGATTTGTAATTCTTTTTTACTAAATTTCTACACAGATCTGAAACCTATTTTTCAAGAAACTTTCATATTTTTTATTAGATCATTTGCTAAATCTGAATTCTGAAATCTAAGACAATTGCTAAACTTTTTTATTATGGAACTAAACTACTCTGCAATAATGACGATAACAATAATAAAGTAATTACAATAATTGTACTAAATTGTAACAATAAAAAATCGTAATATATCTATATATATATATATGATTATTATTATTATTAATAATACATATATATTATATATTCTAATTACATATTAAAAAATATATTCCAATTATATATATAATAATATATTATGTATATATTATTTGATCACCAAATTAAAATTATAATTAATATTAATATAATATATTATAATATATTATAATTAATTTTAATATAATGATCAAATTCAACAGAATATTATATATAAAAAAATATGTTGATTCATCATCATCTATATCAATATTATTGATCATTATCATTCAATATTGGAATAATGTTTCATTGCAATTAAATAATACAAACGAAAAAATTCATCGATGGACAATATAATCATAGATTTACAATTTAGACAAAAACAGGAAAGAACAGAAGTATTGATTGAGAAACAGATCGAATAACTACAATGTGCGTTATCGATTACAGAACTATTTAATCTACGAGCTTGCGGATTGTATTTCTTCTGAAATAAGTGGGGGTTTGATATTCAGTTTCATTTCATCTATTTCCTCTTCATATAATACGTATACTCGGCTCGTTCTTCACTCACGCGGATGCACAATGTGCACATGCGACGCAGATACCAACGTGTATCACATTGTGCAACGCGGAAAGAATCGTAAAAAAAAAAAAAAAAA